AGGTGACAGTGCCAGTTCTTGAGGAGACTGCACTGGGCTGGGATTTATCGGCCGAGGTGCGCGTGGCGAAAACAAGCACGTGACACCGCGTGAGTGTGCGGGCCACGAGGCCACTTACACGGGCGTCAACCTGGGCAGGTTTGAGGAGGAGGAGGCCCATCCTGGAGCTGGGACCGCACGAGGGTGAGACGGAAGGATGGAGATGGGAGGGAGAGAATGAGGGCAATTATATGAGTATTATAGTTAAGTGCACATGTGTGCATGCGTGTTTATGTACCGTCCCGGCCTTCATAGATGCTTGCTAACTGCACTTGCCCCAACAGTCTGTTTGAAGGATCTACGAGGGGATGTTTGTCTTTGTTGTCCGGCACAGAGCGGCGCGTTCTGGTGCGCGAGCCTGCGAGCGCGTACCTGCACCTGGCCGTGGACCACTTCGCACTCGTGCTGGTGGCGTGTGCGCCGGTGCTCGACATGGCGCCGAGATCGCGCGCGTGCACGTGACCGTGTGCGCTCCCCACGCTTGCACGTGAGTGGCACATTACAACAGCATCAACAATAACAACAGCAGCAACAACTATACGTCTCAAAATTTATTTGGGTATCATAATCCTCCTCCCGACACAGTGGTGCGATGGTAGGTGGTGGTGTGTTTATAATGGCATGATGATGGTATAATGTTAGATGATGCTGTGATGTTAGATGTATGTTGAACTTATTTCGCAATGTACGTAGACACCAGTGCTTAACGGAGGTGTGTTTGCGATGGCATGATGGTTTAATGATGGTGTGATGATGATGGCATGATAATGGTGTGGTGGTAATTGATGGTGTGATGATGAAAATGCGAAGTTACATGAAAGTGTCATCATGATGATGGTGGTAATGTGATGTTCGAAGCTGTGTTTGTGTGATGGTGTGATAATAGTGCGATGCTCGATGATAGTGTCAAGATGATGATAGTGGTTTCATGCTAGAAGCTGTGCTTGTGATTGCCTGATAATGGTGCAGTGGTAGATGGTGTGATATCCCCCCACAGGTGATGGAGGGGACCCACGTGGGTCGCGATCTCATCTCCGAGCTCTGCTTCACGAACCCCGTGGCACGCGCCCTGCACCGCGTGCGCGTCCGCGTAGAGGGAGCCGGCGTGCCCGCGCCGGGCAACATACTTGTCGGGTATGGTGCCGTCGTCACAAGTTCACGATCATAACAAGATCAAATGGAAATAGACGATGTTTCGGGCAACTACCCTTGTTCATAACACACGTGTTATCGATTGAACCAAACACATTTGCTATGAAGACGGATCATCGCCCGAAACGTCAGTTATTATATAATTTTCTTTTTAAGTCCAGGATGTTATGACGATTGAGAGTTAAAATTTTTGCGTGCGTATGCACCACTACTAATGCAATCCCACAATACTGTTTATGTGTTTAGTGACAATTATACCTGATGCTCACGCTGCTGATGATGATGATGATGATAACACGTGCCTGTATGTGTCTCTCGCTTCACGATAGTGTAGCGGTGAGTGTGATTTGTTATGCACCCGCGACCCAGTTCTGGGCCTCCCCTAGGTCGATTCAGCCTCAATTGACTGAGGCGGTGTGTGCAAGCTTCAGCACTGGGGGTACAATAGCCGGTCAGACGTGCTGCCCCCCCACCCGTTCTTGTGCCTGTCCCGGCCTTAACAGGTGCTCGCAGTACTTGCCCCAACAGTTTGCTGTAGGCTATACAGGGGACCTTTGTCTTTGTGTCTGTCTCGGCGCAGCAACGTGGAGGGGCACGGCTACACGCGCGTGCCCGTGGTTCCCAAGCGCCGCGGGGAGCTCACGCTGATCGCGAGCCTCGACTGCACGGAGCTGCCGCAGGTGCACGGGGGAGCCACCTTCCAGTGCGAGCCCTGAGACTTCAACATCACCACCATCATCAACATCATGAGTCAACCACCATCATCAGCATCGAGAGTGGTACCACCATGATCGTGATCGAGTGAACTATCATGAACGTGTTCATCATCATCATTATCATCAAGGTTGCACTCATGACACACAAAGTGCTTGCCACAAATATATCACAAATTCCTTGCTGATCTCGTCAAGGAGCGTAAACCATCACGAGAACTCCGCTCATCCTCGCAGTGGCTTTTGGATAGCCATCAAACAAAGACGGTCACTGCATCGCGCACTTTCAGATCCGCTTGTGTGGCCGTCTGGAGCACTCTTTCTTCCGATATCAGGAAGCCGCTGAAGCTCTTCACTGTTAAATGTAGATTGAACACTCATTTATTTAGAAATGCGTTTTGTGTTTAGTTTGTTGTCCTTCCCCGCACCTCCGACTCGCGCGGTTGGCTGCGCACGGTGCGAAAGAAGTTCAACGTACATTTCAACCACCAGGATCGTGTTCATCATCATAAGATGATCGTTATCAGAATCATCAAATTGAATGGGGACCAAAAATCGTGACGGGGTGTGGGGGGTGGAGAATAATCATTACAGAGCCGATGTTATGCACAGACTTCAGGCGCGATAGACAAGAACGCTACCGCCGTGACGTCACTGGAATGCGGTTACTCATGAAGAAGGGGAATGACATCGTTGATGTCGCCAGTGGCGTTTATTTAACCACGCGCATCGCCATCGCTTCCTTCTTCCAGTTCCTGCAGTTGTTGGAGACGACACCGCACCTTCGAGGTCTTTCGATGGTAACAGTCTGGCTCAAGGTCTTCCAATTGATCCTATTATATATAGATTTATATTTTGGCTTATTACAAAGTGCTTTACAACAATTATAATATAAGATGATGGGTTAATAAAGGGGCTGTTGTAGTTATGGTAGGACAGGTGTGAGTGGTTAAGGAGGGGTAGCTACAGGAGTTAATATAGGGGTTGGGGTAGTGATAGGGGTTGGGCTAGTTATAGGTGTTGGGGTAATTTCTTATTTTATATTAATGGTATCGTTCAGTTACGTTCACTTTGGCATGTAAGCTGAAGGATTTTGCTTCTTCTTCAGTCATTTTCAAATTCAATTTCCTAACAAGGTAATTGTTCCAATGCGACTATGAAGACCTCGTACTTGCCAGCGTGATACCGAATTTAATAATAATACAGTAATGTATTGTGTTAATATCGATTTAAGTTTACTCATTCTGAAGTAGGCCATCCAGTGAAAACGTCGAGACATTATCAGGGACGGAATGAAGTGATGTATTTACCCCTTTTAATTTAGTTAGTGTATGAGCAATTTGTTTTTGACACATGAACCTGAAATACAGTTCTAAAAGTATAAAGAGTAGCACCTAACTCAAGTCACGTACGTAACTTTACTGAAATAACCAAAGGGTATGGATTACTGTAGTCACGAAAGCTTCAAATCAAGATTAGTAGCACCTAAGTCTACCTCTTATCGTGACGTACTACATTAATAGTAGTACTTCTTCTTCCTAGCGTTGTTCCCGCTGTGGCACAGGGTCCGCTTTTCGGCATTGTCTTCTCCATTTGGCTCGGTCCAGGGCATCTTCGGGGGATGCGTTGACCGTCTTCATGTCTTCCTTTATTCGATCCATCCATCGCTTCTTCGGACGTCCGCGTGGACGGCGTCCCTCTGGCTCAATACGCATGGCAGTCTTGGCCACTGATGACTCTTCACTTCGCATCACATGGCCGTACCACCGAAGCCTTGCCTCAAGCATCTTGTCCGCACTGGGGGCCACACCAAGTCGCTTCCGAACGTCTTCGTTCATGACACGATCCCATCGAGTCAGTCCAAGGCTCCATCTGAGCATCCTCATCTCCATGGTATGGAGGGCTTGTTCGTGTACAGTTGTGGCTGGCCAGCACTCGGATCCATAGAGTGCCACTGGTCGGACGATGATCTTGTACATTTTTCCCTTCAGCCTATCCGGCATTTTCCGATCACAGAGGACTCCGGTGACTTGCCTCCACTTCATCCATGCCGCATTGACTCGTGACCTCACATCAGTCGTGATGCTTCCATCTGAGCTGATGGTGGCGCCCAGGTACTTAAAGTCCGTCACTTTCTTCAGATCTTCTCCGTCAATGCTGATGGTGCCGTCGGTTTGGGTGCCACACTCCATATACTCCGTTTTTTGATGTTGAACCTCATTCCATTTTCGTCCAAACGTTCCTTCCACAGGCGCGTTTGTCTTTCCACATCTCCTCTCTCTTCATCTGAGAGTAGGACGTCATCCGCATATAGAATTGACCATGGCAGGGGCGTGTGCAGGTCAGCAGTGATCATGTCCATGCACAGGATAAACAGGAGTGGTGACAGGGCCGATCTTTGGTGCACTCCAACGCTGATGGGAAATGGCGGTGATATGCCCACTGCGCACCTGACTGCACTGGTGACGTTCTTGTATAGGAGTTGCACCCAATGCACGTAGGTTTCAGGGACTCCATGGGATCGAAGCGAGTGCCAGATGAGGTCGTGGGGGACCCTGTCAGATGCCTTTTCAAGGTCTAGGAACGACACGTGCACAGCTTTGTTCTTCTCTCTGTGCCTCTCCAGCAGGAGCCTCGCCACGAATATGGCGTCCGTAGTGCCACATCCTTTGATGAAGCCGCATTGGTTGGGTGATGGGGTGATGATATTTCTAATCCTCGTGTCCAAAACTCGCTCAAAGATCTTCATCGCATGACACAGGAGCCGGATTGGCCTGTATTTCGAGCATTCTGCCACGTCCCCTTTACCCTTCCAAATTGGAACCGTCGTGCTGGTCGACCAGGCTTCTGGGACCTCACCGGTGCTCGTGATGGTGCTGAAGAGCTGGGTAAGGAGGGCAGCACCCTGCCTGCCAAGGATCTTCCAGGCCTCAGCAGGGATATCGTGGGCCAGTCACTTTCCCATTCTTCATTCTATTGATAGCTTGTTCCACTTCGATGATGGTGATAAGCAAAACGGGACCGAGGACGTGTTCAGCGCTAATAATTGGTGGGTGGGGAAATTCCTGGTTGCAGATTCCAGAGAGGTAGTCGCTCCAGCGTTGAAGGATGGCGGGCGGGTCTCTGAGAGTGCTGTAATTCTCATCCTTTATGCATTTAACCTGACCAATATCCTGAGTCGAACGATGGCGCGTCTCTGCCAGTCGATAGATCTTATTGGCACCTTCTGGGGTGTCCAGTTCGACATCTCAGTTGGTCGTATTGAGCTAATTTCACCGCTGCTACTACTCGCTTCGCTGCCGATTTGCAGTTTCTGTAGTGTTGGTTATCCAGATATGCGAGCGTTTGGCGCCACTTCTTGAAAGCTAGCTTCTTCTCTTTCACTGGTAGCTGCACTTCTTCGTTCCACCACCATATTTGCTTGTCAATGAAGCGTTTTCCTGGCTTCGTTAGCCCCAGTGCTTCCGTTGCTGCTGTGCACAGTTGGCCGGCGAGATCTTCCCAAATCGCATTCGCTGGTCAGTTGGTGTTCACGTCAATCTGATTGAGGGCGACTCTCAGCTGATCCTTGCATTCCTTCATCCGCCACCACTTAATTCGCTGCTGTCCCGTTGTTGGTGGGCGATGTCGCTGGCCAAAGTCCATTTTCATGTCCATGACCAGGATGCGATATTGTGGGGCGATGTTGTCCGATGGTATGACTTTAGTGTTTGTCACCGTTTTCAGCTTATCCCGCTTGACAAGCCAGTAATCAATTTGAGTTGATCTCCCACCACTGGCGTACATAATAAGATGGGACGGTCTCTTCTTGAAGAAGGTGTTGGCGAGGACAAGATCATGGGCTTCCGCAAAGTCCAGGGCTCGGTTTCCCTCATCGTTCCGGGTACCATATCCTTGGCCATCATGGTTTCGAGGGTATCCATCCCGGGCGTTTCCAACGTGTCCATTTAGGTCTCCACCAATTACTAACTGCTCTTCTCCATTTATCGTTTGCATGTGTCCATCAAATTGTTCCCAAAATTCCTCCTTGGTATCTGCTGGGCAGCCAGACTGCGGCGCATAACAAGATACCACCCGGAGGCGTAGGTCGTTTGAGTCGATTTCGATGGACATGAGGCGGTCGGAAACACGGTGGACGGCCACGACGTTGTCTCGTAGATTTTGGCTGACTGCGATTCCAACGCCGTTCTTGGTGTTTCTTTCACCGTTGTAGAACAGTTTGTATCCAATCTCCCTGGCCTTTGCTCCACTCCACTTCGTTTCTTGGATGCATACGATGTCGATACGACGGGCCTTTAGGGCAGCTGACAATTCTCGACTTCTCCCTGTCAATGTTTCGATGTTGAGTGTTCCCAGCCGTAGTCGGACTAACTTCTTTAGCCTGCCCCGTCCATGAGCAGGTAGCCCTCGTCCATTTCTCGCGTCGTTTGGGCGAGGGCGGCGTGCGTTTCCCCCGGGGGGCGCCCTAGCTTGTTCCAAGTTGATTTGACGTTGCCATAGATGCGACACAGAAATACTTTGGCCGGTGGGTCGCTCCATCTGACGCCAAAATAGTAGTACTATAGACCCTAATAAAAACCAAGAGGCCATTGAGATGGGGGCTTCTAAATGTAAAGCAAATTTTTAATAAGTACAACTTAAAGCTTTCGTGACTGCAGGAATTCATATTCTTTGGGTCTTTCGGTAAAGTCATGTAGATAGAAATAATAATAAAATAATAAAAATGAAAATAAAGTTAATAAAAAATAATAAAAATGTCACGACGTTTCGATCGCAACACAAGCAATCGTCATCGGGAGGAAAAGAACGTCGAAACGTCGTGATATTTTTTTTATTCACTTTATTTTATTATTGTATTATTATTTTTCTATCTATGTGACTTTACCGAAAGACCCAAAGGATAGGGGTAGTGATAAGGGTAGTGATAGCGGTTGGGGTAATGATAGGGGTAGTGATAGGGGTTGGGGTAGTGATAGGGGTAGAGATAGGGGTTGGGGTAGTTATAGGGGTAATGATAGGGGTAGACATAGAGGTTGGGGTAATGATAGGGGTAGTGTTGGGCGTTGGGGTAATGATAGGGGTAGTGATAGGGGTTGGGGTAGTGATAGGGGATGGGGTGGTGATAGGGGTAGAGATAGGGGTAGAGTTAGTGATAGGGGTTGGGGTAATGATAGGGGTGGTGATAGGGGTTGGGGTAGTGATAGGATTTGGGGTAATGATAGGGGTAGTGATAATTTCATACTTATTATTTGGTTTGTGTTTATTCAAGATTTGTGACTTAGCCTGTTATTACCACGTATTTCATAGGGTTTTACTAATCTTCGTTCCACTGCCTGTATTGTGGGTTCTCTGGCTGTTTGTTCTTGAGTTATTATTTTTTTCTGATATCACGGGGCTAGGGAATTTGTTTTGGCTTAAGAGCGACCCTGACTGCCATAATTATTCTTGATGCTTCGGTCAGGTCGCGTAGAAAATGATTAAAGGTAAATAATATCAGTATTGAATTAACAATTGAGGACTCACGACCCCCTGGTTGCAGACTGTAGTTTGGTTTTCAATTGGAGTGAGGATGAGGATAGATAATGTTTGCTTAATCTTCGTGGCTAAGTTGGTAACTTTGTTTAACTAATATGGCTCAAAACCCGCCTGTTTGCTTTCCCTGTTGGCAACTTTAGAACTTTTAACCGTTACATTTTTTTTATTATATATCTCGTGGCGCCTACTGCCTGTATTGTGTGGGGGCCTTTTGAAGTGTAGGTGACTGTTTTAACCCCATTTGCGATTTCCCCCCATCTCTCTCTGCGGTATACGGGGAGGGGTTTATGACCATTTATTCATCTCCTGCCCTCTGGCTTTTTGTTGCGAGCGTGTCTGAGCAGTTGCTCGCGGAGGTGGGGAAATGGGTGTTTGCGCTTCCGAGTGACTATGTGAACCAAAAAAAATTATTGGCCGAA